CCGGGCTTTAAAGGCGCCGCGTCTCCCCGCCGCGCCGCGGCATCCGCGTGGGCGCGATCCGCCGGGGCGGGGTGCAGGTGCGCCCGGGGCCGGAGCGCTCACACTCGGTGCTTCCCCTTCCCTTGTTGCCCCACGCTCCCCGCGACAAGACCGCCGGAAGATTCTTCTGCCCTTCATCCCCGGTCGCCTCTCTTTACCCCAGGCGGCAGACCCATTTTTGAGTCCTCCACGCGTTGCGAAGCCTCGGCCTTGTACTCAGTGACAGTTCAAGTGCAGCCTGCGACTTCACCAGTTGTATGCGACTTTGGGCTCTTCTCCCTCGGCCTCTGTTTCCTTTCCTACAAAACGGGCAGACAGTCTTGTGAAAACAAGCAACTTATTTGTTGCATGCGTCCTGCTTATCGGTCACACTGCACAACATGACCTCATTGTCTCTTCTCCGCAATCCAGGTGGGGAACCCGAGGCTCAGAGAGGAGTGACATACCCAAGGGCACGGAGCTATTAAGTGTTGCATCTGTGACTGAGTCCGGACCCCATACTCGGACTTGAAACGCCAGGGTCAAGGGTCACTTGTTTTACCGACTGAGCCAGCCAGGTGTTTCCCCCCACGCCCCCACCCCTATACTCGGTCCATAAGGTTGCTGTACTCCTCTGGGGGGAGTGGGGGCCACGCGGTGTCACTGTATCGCTGGGAGGCTCCGCTCTCTAGAATGCCACCTTGACACCTTTGAGAGGTACTTAGGAAGTGCTTCCCTCAGAGCTGAAGGACTCGGCTTTTTATTTTTTATTTTTTTAAAGATTTTTATTTATTTTTTAATTTTTAGGTAATCTCTACACCCAAGGTGGGGCTCAAACTCACAACAACAAGATCAGGAGCTGCAGGCGCCACCAAATTGAGCCGGCCAGGTGCCCCAGGACTTGGCTTTTTCAATCAAAGTGCAATTGACATGTAACATTAGTTTCCGGTGCACAACATGACTGGGTATTTGTATACACCGGGAAATAATCACCAGGTAAGTCTCGTCACCATCTGTCAGCGTACACAGTTACACATTTGTTTTCACTTGTGATGAGAACTTCCAAGATTCTCTCAGCAACTTTCAAACGTCCAATACCACGTTACTGACTGTAGTCAGCAGCCTGTACACGGCGTCCCCTGGACTTACTTATTACTGGAAGTTTGTACCTCTTGGCCCCCTTCACCCATTTTGCCCACCCCTCCCAATCTCTTCTTTGTATCTGTGAGTTTTGTCTTTAGATTCCACATGTAAGCGAAATCGTACAGTATTTGGAGGACTTCATTTTGACACCCTTCCCCTCCCCTCCCCTCCCCTCCCCTGAGCTCCCTGGGCATAGGGCTTTCCCTGGGGGGTCCTCTCTGGCCAGGGAGCCTGCAGCCACCACCCCAACAGCCTCCGGAGAGCCCTATTCTCCTTCCTGTGCCTGCAGAGCAGAGGGACCTCACAGATACCTTGGGAGTCCACCTCATTACCCTCCTCACGTCTGCCCTCACCCCCGGAAGGGTGAGGAAGACCCAGACTCAGGCTCCACAGGTCCAGACGCCCTAGCTGCTGCTCAGGGTGCTTCGAGCACGAGGGACCGAGGGAGAAGCCTGCCCTGCAGGGGTCTAGGAGATGGACCCAGAACGTCCCATGAACCACGCAGACCCTGGGCCAGGCACTTCCCACCGTGACCTTTCTAACCCTCATAACAGTTCTGCAAAGGAAATCTATAATCATTTTACAGAAGAGAAATTGAGGCTCAGAAAACTCAAGATATTTGCTCGGATTACACAGCTCCACAGGGTCAGGGTGAGCCTCCAGGCTCTTTCCCAGCATGAGGCTGCCCACCACCAGAGGAAGGGTACCTGCCCCGTGGTGGGGACTCAGGGTGATGCGCTCAGCGCCCCCGGAGCCATGCTGAGGTGGGGAAGGGAGAAGGAAAGGGGCGTGTTCTGTCACGGGCGTGCACCCAGCCTCGTGCTGAGAGGCCCCACGAGATTGGGCATCCGTGGAGGTGCGTGCAGCCCGGTGCCCAGCGCCTCGTCCACACTCAGCCCACCTGAGCCTCGAGAGGTATGGCTGCAAGATCCTGAACTTCCCAAGGAGGTCGGGTATCTTGCAAAAAAGGACCCCACCTTGACCCTGTGGTCAGGGATAACAGTTTCGCAGAATGCCCGAGGCAGCTTCCCATTGCCCAGGGTGAAGCTCATGCTCCTGAGGATGACAGCAGATGGCCTTCCAGCCATAGCCCCTAGCCCGCCTCTTCATCTCCTGCCATGACTCCCCCCGCCCCGTTGAGAACACCATGCCACGTCCCTCCCTCATGCCTTCAATCTCCCCAGCCCGGGAGGCTCTCCCCTTTGCTCTGCTGGGTACACCAGCCTCCGGCATCACCTCCCAGGTGCCGGCCCCCAGCTCTCCTGGATGGGGCCGGAGGCTCTGCTCCCGGGCCCCAGGGTCCTTGCCCACCCACTGTCCCCTCCCTGTGCATTCGGGAACTCTTAGCCCTCCCTCCACCCCCTGCTCCACCCCAATACCAGCAGCCGCTGGAGGACCATGGCGACATTTTAGTTCTCTGTGTGTCTGGCCCCCCGGAGGCAAAGGTGCATGAATGATAGTGGGGCCCCACGTCAGGGTGTCCATTGGAGGTGGGGGCTCCAGAGGAGCCCCTCCGTGGGCAGCCGGGGGCAGAGGCTGAGGACAGTGGAGGCTTCCTGCTACCCACACTGGGCCCGGGAGCCAGGGTTTTTGTGCCCCTGCCCCCCAGCAGGGCGGAGAGGAGTCTGGGGGCCCTTCCTCTGTCAGTGGCAGTGGGGAGGGCGCCCCAGGAGCTGGGGGATGCCAGGCCTGTCACCATGGCAACAGCTGCTCCTGGGAAGCCAAAGGTGGGGGGTGTGTGGAAGGACTCCCTCCCCCATGCAGATGCTGCTTGGAGAGAAGAGGCCTCTTGGGCCGCCTGCCCACCCACCCGGCTTTGTCACTCGATCTCCATCTTTACAAAGGCAGAACAATACCCGTGGGCTCACTGAAAGGGAGCCGATGGACCAGGAGGAGGGGGATTACCATCAGTGCCCACCCCCCATTCCTGCTTCACTGGGCAGAGGGGCCAGAGACAGGGGCGAGGTGGTCGTAGAACCCCCCTCTCGGCTCCTCCCCGGGGAGGCCTCCCTTCCTGGGGGCCCTGCGCACATGGGAAGGGACACCCCTTCCCTCTCGTCCCCCCCCAACCCTCTTGTCTCCCTGGCTTGCACTCCCAGAGGCCCTTCTTACCACGTCCTCCCTGACTGTGGCAACTTGTCACCCCCCAGTGCACACTTGCTGCCCTCCCCCTCGGCCCAGATACTTCCTCCTCCAGGCCGATGCCCTGCCTGATGGCCCTGGTGCCCGCCTCTGTGCCCTGGGGCCACCACACCTGTGCCTGTCTTCCCCACAAGCCTGGAAGCCCCCGGGTGTCTTGGGCGCCTGGCCTGGAGCAAGCTCCCATAAATGTTTGTTGAGTGAAAAACACGCCGTGATGAGGAGGGGGCCGTAGATCTTTCTGGAAGAGCCTGAATGCCAGTGGGGCCTGAGGGTGGGGAAGAGTAGTGACTGGAGCCTGGAGCACAGAGGTGTTTGTGTGGGGAAGCAGGCTCAGGCCGCACCTTCTCCAGGTGCCCAGGACACCCTGCAGGAGGGCTGTCGCTGGTGCCGGAGGACCTGGCAGACACACTGATGCACCTGCTCCTGGGCAGAAGGAGGTGGGTGCGCTGGGACGGGGAGGCAGGGGGAGGTCAGTGTAAGCATCTGCGGGGACACGCAGGGGCCTGGATGCTCCTGTGTGTGCACACACCCCCGTGCATGGGGCAGGACTGGCTGACATGCTCGGTGGGGGGGGCTCCGGGAATGGGCTCACCTCCCCAAAACTTGAACCCTTTGACTCAGTTTCCCTTGATGGCGATGCGATGTCAAGGGCTGGACGAGACTGTTCCATTCTAAAGAGTTTTTAAAATTCCTTGTTAGGGCATTTCCAGTGTTCACAACTAGTCAGCATTAGAGGTGAGGA